TTTAGATGATTTTAAGACAAAATCTAAGAAAAAGAATATTCTTTAAATATTAATTTTTTAAAAATTAACAGTCATAAATTAATTGATAAAAATATTAAAAATAAAAAATTGACATAAAATTTTTATTTTATAAAATATTAAAGTTTAGTTTTTTATTTTTTATGAATTTTTTATTCTTTTACACTGCTGATGACTGATGGCATTGAATAGAAGTGAAGTGATACTCTAAGATCAAATTTGACTATTGGATATCAAATTTGATATATCACTTCCTTAAGTATCATTTTTTAAGACCTTTTTTCCATGTTGGTATTTTTCTTCTTAGTCATATATATATATATATATTTATAAAGTATGGGTGCTAGCTGATGTCATCACTGGGTATTAGTGACATGGACAACTAGAAAAATTTTAAGCTTAAATTTTTGATAAAATAGAAATTATGTGTCATTTAAAAATATTTTCATCAATAAATTTATTATTATTAGTTATTGAAAATGAATATTTTGAAGAAATTTTTTGCTAGATTAGCCTAAAACCATCCAAAATTAAAGTTTCAATGCAAATTCATTCAAAAATCGAAGTTTAGTAGTAAAATTAAATCAAATTAAAATAAAATATTAAAATTCGATATTAAGATGGAGTATAATGACAAAATTACCCTTTATCCCAAAAATAAATTTATAAGGTAAAACTGTACCCTAAAAAAAAATAAAATGTTGTAGTAATTAATTACAAGTATAAAAATAATTATATATCACATTAGTGAAACTTCATTGTCAGGATTAGTAGAGTGACACTAATCTTTAAATATAGTAAAAATAAAAAATTAAAAAATAAATGTGATAGCTTTTTAATTCCACTTTTAGAATTAAAAATTCTATTGTTAGTATATCAATAATGAACTCTAAACAAAATTATCAGAATCGTATCAAATATTAAACTGTTCAATATTTTGGGTCACTGAGTTAATGGTTCAATCATCGGATTAATCAGGTCAATTATTGGTTCAATAAAAAATATTATAAAAATTATAAATATTTTAAAAGTTTAAAATTCATACTTTTAACTCAAGTTATAGTTTAATAATTTAACCATAAAACTATAAATTTTAAGGTATATCATAAATTACAAAATTTTAAAATATAAAATTCATAAAACAATAATTACTAGTTAGAAATAAAATTATTTAACATTTTATTAAATTTGTATTTTATATTTTAACAGTTGGAAATAATATTTATATTTTAATAAATATAATAAATAATAACTAATAAATAATTATAAATAATCATTACTTATATTTATTAAAATATAAACATTATTTATTAATATATAATAATTAATTTTTATGTAATAAAAAAGAAATATCTATATATAAAATTAATAAAAAGGAAATATTTATATTTATATGAAAATTAGTAAAGGAAATTAAAATATTTTTTATATTTTTTATATGAATGTATATTTTTTTATTAATTTTACATATATATAGTTTTATTAATCATTTTTTATTAAGGTCAAATAATTAATCATTTTTATTAACATTTCATTTTTTATTAATTTTATATATTATTAACTTTGTAATTATTTTTAATTATAGTATCAATTAATAAATTTTTTTGCTAGATCTTTTTTTTTTTTGAAAATTGCTTATTTTTACACATTTGTAAATTTTTTTTGCAATGTCATTATTTACATATCTCAAAATATGCCAACATATTATTAATATAAGGATACAATGGCTTTGATAATAAAAAAATAAGAGTTCTTATTTAGGTGAAATAGTAGTATACAGGCTTAATTAGATTATTTTAAATAATTAAAGGGTTTTTTTTTCATATTTTACCTAAATTTATTAGTTGATATTGAATCAATACGATTAAAAAAAATTGACTGGTTTATTGGTTTATTATGTAAACCGTTGATTCATAATGATTTAGAGCAATTTAATTGCAAGATTAATCTAATTACAAAACCAAACCAGTTTCAACATTGATTTACCGATTCAATCAGTTAGACCAATGGTCCAATCCAATTCTAATAACTATGACTCTAAGTATAAATGTATACTAGTATTTAAATAAATCCATAGGGCTATATATATTTGCTTATGCAAGATAAAGAATAGTAATTATTCTACTATCTTAAATTTTTGCAAAATAAAATAAAAAACCATTAAAAATTTACCATGTGGTATTGCTACACTATTTGCTAACATTTACTCGGCATTATAAGAATACAAGAAAAAGAAAAAAATATAAATTATTCTTTGAAGTCCTCTTTTATTTTGTTTTAAAATAATTTTAAGAAATGTGTTTTTATAAGACTATCAGCATTTATCTAAGTGAATAGTTTTGAACACAAAAATTTTACATAATAAAAAATTATACCCATATATTTATAAATTTATATTTGATGTATTATTATATACTCTCAATAAATCATATGATATTATTTATTAATAAATAAATATAAATTTTTACAAATTCTTAAAATAAATACACAAAAACTTATTTTTTTTTTAAATTTCATTAATGACATGACTTATATTATTCATTAACGATATATAAAATATATATCGATACCCTAAAAGTGCATGAAATATAAACATCAATATTTATACCTCGTGAGATAAGGAAGATGTTGGTCAGAGGACATGTCTCGACGTGGACCCCTATGAGCTTTCTCACATCCAAGATTCAGTCTATAGGCCCATTTGCATTAATGTAAAGGAGAAAAAACAAAAGAAGCCAATGGCCGCTTGAAGGATTGAAGATACCTTGGGAGTGAGTTGGGATTCTTGAGGTCTTTCGATGGTAATTTTCGATGACAGTCGGCAAAACTGTTGAGAAAATGGAACAAATAAAAAAGCAAACGGATTGAAGATAAGGTTTCCGTTTTGATATTGAGATTTTGAACCAAACATTTCTGAATTGATAGGACTTGTCAAAGCATCAAATACCAATAAAACAAACATCTATATATATATATATATATAGAGAGAGAGAGAGAGAGAGAGAGAGAGGTATGATTATCCGACGAAGGTTTTGCTGATTTTTTTGGTAAGTTTTAGAGGTTATTTTCTTGGGTTTTCCTTTATTTTCTTGGCAACCAAATGGAAGTAGACATATGGGAAAAGAAATGCAAAGAACTAGAGAGTTAAAGAGAGAAAAAGAGTATACCTTTCTCTCCTTTCTTCTTCTTCTCGCCCTTGGCTTTGTGTTGTTTGGTCTTGCCTGTTTTGGGAGCCATTGTGCACCAAAAGTGTAGGGTTGGTTATAAACATGGAATTGTTTAACTACTTCAATTGGTAATTATTCTGTGACGATAATAACTATGACCCAGATTGAATTTATCGACTAAATTTCCCTGCATGCAATTTTTGAGAGAAATTTCCGTCCAAAAAATCAGGAAGGGTTTGACTTGACAGTTGACAGCAAAACAGATTAAAAAAAAAGCAAAAGAAAAGAGAAGAAACTGCTGGAAGTAGCTCAAGCAAAAGGCAATAGTGCTGCAATTAAACTAGAGCATTGAAATGAGAAAATGAGATATTCTGGTTGTGATTATTTTATTTTATTTTTTGAATTGAATTGAATTATCAGTTTTAAGTTACTTAAAGGTGCTGGAAAGGAGATTTTACATGGTGAAGAATTGAGAGGGAATTGTGAAAGAGAGAAAATTACGAAGGAGAGTCGTGTTTTTAATGTTTGGGGAGAGAAAGGGAGAGAAAGAGAGGTGGATAGGACAAGGGTAAAGCCCAAGTCCTTTCTTGTACAGAAGCGAGCCAGAATGTAAGGCTAGCAGGTGGGAGAGGCTGAGAGAGGAGAGTTTTGTTAATGTTTGGGAAGAGAGAAAGAGAGAGAGAAAGAGAGGTATTAGACAGGATAATGTAAGCCTAAAGCCCAAGTCCTTTCTTATGCACAAGCAAATGAAAATGCATGGCTAGCAATTTCAGGCCTCTCATTTTTCTCCCTATTCCTTGACATCTCATCATCTCTCTCTCTTTCTGTCTCCTGTTGTTTTATTTATGACTGTTTTCTTCCTTTCTTCTTTCTTAGCGCTATGATACAATGTCAATAAGCAAACATATGTTTCTATTTCAGAATTTACGTGCTCTTAGTTTTGATCATTGAAGAATTTAAGCATTTAACCAAAAGCAAGGCTTCAAAGTGACATTTTATCAAACATATAAAGAACATGAAAACGAAGATAATATCTCAAAGCACTGATTCTGAGCAATTGGGCATTACTAATACAAGAAACTTCTTACCCGCAAATAAAACTTATGCAAAACCAAGTGTCTTGATAAAATTACCCCACTTTTGTCGCCGACTGGGGTACTGGTTGAAGAGCTTCAAATCCTTGCTAGACAATTTAAATCCTTTCAAATGATGCATACAAAAAGAACAGGGAATGAAGCTGCACATCAGCTTGCAAGACTCGGGCTACAAATCCAGGACGAATTATATTGTATTGAGGACTACCCAGAATGTGTCCATGATACTGTAACTGCTAAGGTGTTTTCTAATGAATGAAACTAAAGTTTTTTCTTCTTAAAAAAAGAAGAAGAATACATACGTTTATATTTTTTCCTTTTAATTTTGAACATGTATTTGCACTCCCTCCCATATATTACAATTTTCAAAATTATTAAAATAATATATTTTTTCAAATATTTATCATCCTGCTCATTTAAATAAATCAAAGCAATTATTTTTATGGATTACATCACTCCACCATGAAAATTTTAACAAAAATATGAAATATTTCATAATGATCAATATTCTTATTATAATTAAATAAAAATTTATCTATACTAATTATAAAATGTTTGAGAAAGAGAATTCAAGCCGGTTCTGTGAATAGAGAATCATAGTACACGAAATTAAGTTAAACGATCAAGTTAATTTGATATGTTCTTAATTTTTTTTTTGTTACATCATGAAAATAAAATTTTAATATAAATAAATAAAAAAAAGAGATTTAACTTGAAATTAAAATTTTGATATCCTCTTAAACATCTTTAACCACTAAATCAAAAACTCGATAACTAATTTTTCCTTACACCGAATAGCAAAAGCCTCTCTTTCAATTAGTGTCAACAATTTTGGAAACGACTATCATTTTGTGTACCTTTCAAATCACGAAGTTATTAGAATAATTTCTGCAATATAAACATACTTGGACAGCGTATATATGTTTGGAAAGAATTCAAAAGTCTTTTTCTAACACAACAGTTCAAGTCTCAGCAGGCTCCTTGGAAAAAGAAAATATAAGAAAGATACACAAAGGAACAACGACGATGGCAGCAATCTTCAACAGGTCCTCAACCTCTTTTGAAATCACCCCAATCCTTGACCAATCCCCACTGTACCTGAAAGATTTTATAATTTTAGTTATGATACGTTGATAAAGATACGGTATGAAATTTTAAAAAATATAAAAATAATCTAATTTAAAATTTTAATAAAAAAATATATTTCGTATTTATTGTGTTAATATGAATTATAAAATAATAATTTTAATATTTTATATGTATTTGATATAAAATAAATAGTTTATGGATACAAAAATTACTAAATATATTCTAAAGTGAAGCATGACGAAGTGATTGGGTTGCAAATTTTTGCATATATAAAAGATCGATGGGTTGACAAACCCAAAGAGAAAAGCCAGAAAGAAGATTGAGATGATCAAAAACAGTAAAAGAAGGGAGAAGAAGAAAAAGTGTAACCCTTACCCAGCATCTATAAATCCAAGCCCAAATACAGCAACCACAGACCTTGCAAGAATTGTGTTGGAAACCCTCAATGGAAAATTGGTTTGCTGCTGCAGCTGGCTTCCTGAACTTTCAGGCACACCTTTCTTTTTAGTCATTTTGCTTATAAATCTTGTGTCATTTCTCCTCACAAGAAGATGAGAGTTGTTTCCCTTGAAATTGAAGATAAAGCTTTTCTGTATGACCAACAACATTTTCCTTTATCTCTCTCTCAAAAAATTAAAAAAAAAAATCATTTTCCTCTCATGTATCTCTGTCCAATAAAAATTCCCATTACCCTTATCCATAAAAACTTCTCTTACAAGGTCATGTATGTAATTTCACAAAATTTCAGACAATGACATTTCAAACTAGGAAAACTTTATAGACAACCACTTTTTTTTTACGTTTACAATCAAAAGCTAACCATATTTTAGAAAAAAAAAAATTAACTAAAGCCAATTGAATCACAAGATCATTTACATTCAAACACTTAGCAGCAAATCTTACTAGTTTTCTCTCACATTTCACAAATCCATTAAACCCTAACAGCAACTCACGTCAAAATTATAATCTCATCCAAGTATCACTTCTGATTTTGAGCAAGATTCAGACAAAATGGGCAAATGGAACCAACAATTGAGGTAATCTTTTTTTTTTTTTTTAATGAATTTGAACATTAGTTTGAATAAATTTGAAATTGGGTTTGATTGTTAAAAAAAAACAAGCAAAGAGCTGTAAAATTTTTGCCCAAATTTACTTTTAAATTTTTTTAAGACTTCGTAGAGGTGTAAGGCAAATTAGAATAACGGAATAGTTTTAATTGTTTCTGATGTGGTTGTGATTGGCAAAAATGCATATTTGACTAATTTCAAATTCAGATGGATTGTCTTTAAAATTACACTAATACAAATATATATTTTTTTATGATTTCAAATACATACGAATATCTAGATCTATATATATATATATATACACTTTTTCCATCTCAAATTATTAGCTAAATGTTCAATTTAATATTAAATTTTTAGGTAATTTTTTAATTCAAAATTAAATGTATTATTTTATATAAATAAAGGTTAAATTAAATAAATTTATAAAAATTTATGATCTTTTTAAATAAAAATAAGGTTGTGAGAGACACACGTGTTATATAATATAAGAAGTTTAAGTGATGATTATGTGATTTTTTTTTTCTAATTTAGAGTAGATGTGTTTTCTATTAAAAATAATTATTCCTAGAAGTTTCATAATGGAATATGCTTCATTTAAAGTCTCTCTTCCACAATTTCATCTGTAAATTGTATAAAAAAAAAAAATTACAACCTTAAATTGAATTATTTACCATTAAGATTTGGAAAACTTAACGATAAAATTAACATCTTCAAAACTCCCTGATTGATTGGATCATGTATTCTTTAAAAAAAAAAAAAATCCACCTCGATGCAATTTAGCTCCACCGCAGCTAATTCGTGCTTTGGTCATCTCCATCACTTTCTCTTTAACAAAAAATAAAAAATAAAAATCCTATTCTCCATTATCTAGAGCACAAGCAAAAAAACACATCTCCCAGAAATTATATTCTATTTCGTCTCAATAGTAACAAATCCATAGCGGAGCTAGGGTTAGTTGATTCAAGATAAGATTGCTTTTTTCCATTCAAAAACCCAGTTAGAGTTTCTTACTTTTCTTCCTCAGTAAACATTTGTTTGCCCATTTCAATAAATCACACCTAGTCAGAGTGTTTGATTTCTGAGAAAATCACACCCAATCACAGCCTATCAGGCATGTTGGTCTTTTTTTTTTTTATGGAGAAACCAATTGAATCCAATATCAATGGTTATTTCTCAAGCAGAATATCTGGATGCTACCATTGACTACTACTGCACAAAATCCATTTGAAGGAAGGAAAGAGATCAAGGATGAGTTTTGGGAGAAAGATAAGAGTTTGAAGAGGTTTGCTGGGTAGCAATGATAATGAGAATTATGGTCATATTCATGAAGGTGGTGGTGATAATTTGGGTTTTGACCAACTAGATGTCGGAAATATTTGGTTTCAACCAAGTTTTCTTGGATAAATATTCCTTAAGTTCCTTTCTCTTCGACTTGTTAAGGGGGTGAAGAAAGGGTGGCTTTTTTTTGTGCTTGGTGATTTTTTCCATAAAAATCATCGTTGGCAAGCGACGACCAGAAGTGATCGACGATTCTGGTGTTGGATTTTATGTTGTCGTGATGGTTGTTACGAAGAATTTGAAGAACTAAGGGAAGAGGGTGTGAAAGAAAACTGATATAACGTAAAAAAATTAAACGAAAATTAAACATTTTCATTTAATTTTTTTTTATTTTTTATGAGTTTTGTAACAAATTTTGACTTTTTAAAAAAATCAAATTAGCAACCAAATTTGATTTGATTCTAAATTATTATAAATTAATTATATTTAATTTTTATTAGTATAAAATAATTTAATTTTGAATTGAGTAAATATCTAAATTTTTAATTCTAAATTAAGTATTTAGATCAAATTTTTTTGGGTATTATTGATTTTTATGAAATTTAATAATTTTTTTATTTTAATATATTTAATACTTTAATTTAATTTTTAAAAAAATTAAAATTTCGAGATTTTTAATATTAAAAAATAAAAATTATAAAAAATAATATTAAAACATAAAAGGTAAGAATTTTAAATGTTAAAAAAATAATTTGGGGACATCTAAAAAAAATTAAAAAAAATTAGGAAGTAGAATTTGAAACTAAACAGAAATATTTTTGGTGAAAAAATAAAATAATAAAAACTCGAACTTAAAAATAGTATAATTTTGGAATAAACAAAGTACGGCCACAAGCGCCTATGTTCCGCTGCTCCATGACAATCCATGAAGACGCAGCGTCTAGGACTGAACTTTTCTTCCCTTCTATCCAAATCCACTTCTCTCCCACAAACATACACAACCTTAGCTTCAAGAAAACAGCACATTCATCCATGGCTTCTTCTTTAAATTTGACGACCATGTCTTTTAATTTACCCTTTTGCCATTCTTATCCCTCCTCCTTCACTCGAATCCCTCGTGGCTCAGTCCAACTCCCCCGCTTCAACAAGGTGGGCAAAGGCTTGAAACTCAGTTCCATTCATAGCATTTCTGGGTTCCCTTCATTTGCTTCCCATAAGCTTTCCACTATTAACCCTGCCCCCCAAAGAGGCCAATCTTTCACTGTCTTTGCTGCTAAAGGCTACAAAATGAAAACCCACAAGGTACTTCTCTCTTTCCTCTCTTTGATTCCTAAGAAAACAAAGGAAAGATTCAAATCTAGAAGCATTAGCTTTTCGTTGTTATATCAACCAATATTGTTTGAATTTGCTTGCTATATCGAGTTAAACTTGAGCCAAAAGATTCCACCTTTTTAGCTGCAGTTTTTAGAACTCAGAAGAAGTTACAAATTTTATGAGCAAATTCGGTTCTTTGCTACTATTCATCCAAAAAACTTGAAAATTTGTCTTAGCAATCAAAAAGCACTGCTTAAAAACCGCCTATGGTTGTGCTTTTCTAATGCATTTCATTTTGTCTTATGATTTATTAGGCTTCTGCAAAGCGATTCCGGGTGACAGGAAGGGGCAAAATAGTTAGGAGGAGAGCTGGGAAGCAGCATTTGTTGGCTAAGAAGAACACCAAGCGTAAATTGCGCCTCTCCAAAATGGTCAGTTTCTTTGTTCCGCTCTCTCCGATGTTTTGCCTCAGCTTGTGCCTTGTTCTTATTAAATCTTTGATCTTTTAGGGAGTCTGAAAATGTGAGTGCTATTTGCTCCAAATTCATTCTGCCTTTTGGTTCTTAGTTAGGACTAGAGAAGCAAATTGATCCTTTAATTGCATATACCGACTGGGGGAAATGAATTTGTAGGTTATATTGTTAATTACTGAATTCGAAGCTCCTTATTATGAATCGTTTCTTGTGCTAAAGAAATAAAATTTAAGCCTGCAAGGTGTATGTGTGCGTTTTGATGTGGGGTGGAATGCAAGAAGGCAAATTAGACATTGAAAAGAGAATAATTATATTGTTTTTATTTTTGTACTTCTGAAAGTCTTAGAATGAGGTTCATTTTCAAAATTATATCCTAAATTTTGGTGGATTCCCCTCCTTTTCTGTGCTCCTTTGTTTCCCCAACGTGAATTGGAATTTAGTCCTGCGATTCAGTCTCTTGGCTCTAGTGCAGTTTCCCGAGTGTAGTTGGGATTGGTAGATGACTCTGCCTTGGCATGTCAGGATTTTCAATCACACTGGCTTCAAATTGCTTTCATTTCTTTCTAATATCCAGAGAGAGAAAAAGTGTCCTGAAGGAGCAGCTGTTTTGTTGCTTGTTATATCATCACTTTCTTTTCTTTCAAGAAGAGTTGTGTGCGGCTACCCCATTTAGGCTATTTATTGTCCACTATATATAGGTACGTATGATATCTTGTTCTGAGAAAAGGATCAGGTGTTTCTTAGAGAGTATCTATATTAGCTGCTCTTAGAGTGAAATAATGAACCCATGTTCTTATGGGGTGTGCTAAAATCAGGTTGGTTGTTAGGAGGTTTTGATGGGCGGAATCATAACTTTGTTACCCATTGTTTGGTGAGTGTGGCAGGATGGGATGCAGATTAGACTTTTGTTTTTTTTCTGATCGGTTACCAGTGTGTGAAAGTTCCATAATGATTTTAAAAAGTGAGCAAAGGGTATTTGAAAGTAACATGCACCACCACCAATGAAAATGGTTTGCTTAAATGCTCAGTTAATAACATGACTTATATAAAGATATTGGAGCTGGAGATGTTGGAAAACATACTTTAAATTGAATGTACTCTTTATTTATTTACTTTATTTGAAGGTGAAATGTTAGTTATTTGTTGTTATCCGTTGTTTGGTGAGTGTGTTGGATGAGAGGCAGATTGCTATTTTGTTTTTCTGATAAGTTGACTGTGAGAAATTTCCAAGTTAAACTTAAAGGGCTAGGGTATTCACAAAATTAAAATTTATTGCAAGTAACCTCTCCATAATCGTAAGCAATATAATGTTTTGTCTAAATGCTCAATTAATTGATTGAAACATGATTGGTTGTGTCTTCACTGGAACAAATACAAATATCTAGGCTGGAGATGTTGGAACGTATCGTAAATTGAATGTCTTTCTTTCTTTCTTTCTTTTTTTCCCCCAGAAATTTAAGCATAACCATATTTAGTACAATACCCAAGCATATGCTGAAAATCAGTTCATACAGAAATGTACTAGAATTGTATTTGACATTGTGAGAATTTACTCGTAAACTACACTTAAACCAAGAGGCTTACCTTAAATGCCCGGTTTAACCTCATGGACTTACTTACTGATTAGTGTTCATGCTTCAAGATGCCTTGGTACATATGAGGAATTGATCCATTGCCTTGTTTGGTTTAAACAGACCATTTAAGTTGCTGAGATAATTTGAAATGAAAACATTTTTATTTTAATGGATAAGTTTAAATGGTTAGGTCTCTATTTCAGTATGAAACTTGTTCTTATAGGGTAGTTCTGTCAATTTCTGTCTACAGCATGCAGTTAGCCGGAGTGACTATGACAACGTGATTGGTGCCTTGCCGTATCTCAAAGTAAATAGGAATGCTAAGTAAAGAGCGTCTTCAAGTTTCATGTAAGGACTTATTTATCTTGTTTTCTTGTAGTTTCAAAAGTATGGCAGAGAAAAATCTGTTGATTGTTTTAATCTCCAATACCTTAAGTGGCCGTTGATCAATTCTAAGTTGAAATTTATTTTTTCAATCACTTAGGCACTCATTTGACTCCAGTTTATGACATAACATATTACTTTATATGCATTGAATGCCTATGCCCTGAATGGTGGGTGCTTTGGGGGTTAAAAAAAAAGGCTTAGACCATATAAAGTGGCATAAGAATCTGCAACCATTTCTATTCAAAGCAAAAGAGATAGAGGAATTCATGAGATCTCTTGTATCTGCTTTTGTCATGACCTCATGAATTTACGTTAGTGTTGTGTGAGGTCTACCTTTTCATTGGTATTTGTTTTAACCACAATTCATTTGGTAAATCAGAGTTGATTTCTGGAGTGTAATCAGCAGTCATTGCAACTCAACTTTGGTGTATAGAATTAAGGATAGATGATTGACGAAACTAAATTTAGCAATCTGAGTGGTTGAAAAACAATAGCTTCTGCATTTTCCCTTGATAGGGAAAAACAATAAAGAAAGAAAATGAAAAGTATTTTCTGTGAGCTTAAAAAGAAAAAAAAAAGGTGAATTTTGGTCAGCTTTATATATCCTTAAACTCTGATTTTCCTAAAACAAAATTTTGTAACACTTTAAAAATTCTTTTTCAAGAAACTAAAAAAAAAAAAATAATTCAAATTTAGCCCAATTAAATTATTTAAAATGATTTGTATTCGTTTATTACGAACCAGTGAAAGTATAATAATTGTAATTAAATTGCATTGAGATTTCGCAATAATTTTCAATAAATCACGTAAAATTACTATCTAATAGAGTTTGGTAAATTGGTAAAATTTAATTTCGTAGAAACTAAAAGGATTAGAGGTGACAAAACGAATTCCATGTGAAAATCTGCATGAAAAAATTTAAGTTGGAGCTCATCCAAACTTGAATTGATAAAAAGCCAAACTCGAAATTGCTTGAAATCTCACAAAATTCAAGTCCAAAATTTCTTTACTGATTAAAACCTTCAATAACTTGAAACTGATATTTTTATGAAATTATAAGTACAACTACAATAATAATCAATTAATAAAATATGACATTCATATATAAAAATTCTCTAAACAATTAAATAAATCAATTAAAACATAATTAGATAAATCTAACATAAGGTTAGAATCAAACTCATGCATAATGAAATATGACTACTAATTTTATTCTAATTTGAACTCAAGTTGAATCTAAAACAATTTGAATTCAAAGACACAAATTTAAAATGATTTGGACTTGATATTATCAAATTCATTTCTTGAATAACTATTGAAATAAAAAGATGGCTCGAATTTGAAATGATTCGATGTGAACCCACACATTTATCACCTAGAGGTGTCAAATAGGTTGGGCGCGCAAAGCACAATACAATTTGGCATGGTGTGTGCCGTACTTGACACAGCTCGTTGTTAAGCAAATGGGCTGGTCAAGTACGACACAAGGTTAAAGGATTTTAGGTTCATGGGTTGCATGGCATAACCTATTAAGGGTTAGTATCAGCATGGGTAAGGTTGATTAGTATGACACCACATATAAATCCAAATGAATTTTATTCATATTTTTAATCTAGTGATGAAATTATACTTACTTTTGATATTTTATTGATAATTTATAAACATAAATTATATTAAATAAGTCTACTTATGAAGTATTTAAATTATTGTTAGATGAATTTATAATCCTTTCATTTTGAATATAAAAATATATGATACCTCACCTTTTATAAAAGAAAACTTTTTATGAAAGTTATACTACTAGTAAATTAAAACTCATTAAAAAAATAAACTGTTAAAAGTAAAAAAATTGCCACTTGATATAATAGTAGCAAAAATAGCTAAGATATCTTTGGTAAGACCAAAATGAGAATGGATACTATCGAAATGTGCATATTACTTAAAGATTGATTAGGTGAAAAAGTTTGAGTATAAGACAAAACATATTATATAAGAACATTATCAAATAATGAAAATAAGAAATAGAATCAGAGTCTTATGTCTTATAATTTTTTTTTTGTGTGTTTTGAAATATTAGTATTGTAAATTTCAATATCTTTATTTAGTATATTTTATTATCACTCCTCGTAGATATAGGCATTTTATCAAACTACATAAATTATTTATCATTTTTATTTCATTTTATTTTTATTTATCTTACATGTTATTTTTAATAATAGTTAATAAATGAAAAAAATACAAAATTGAAAAAAAATATTAATTAATCTTGTTTAGTATGGTTTAGAACAAAAAATAGTGTCGTTTCTAACTCAACACGACTTATAAAAATTATGAATCATGTGTCCACCTTTAGCTTTTATGAATTATACCAACATATGTAAATACCTAATTTTGTTCGGATTATTTAAAATAGGCTTTGTTTTGTATCCGTTCAGACATCTCAAATAAATTGGTTATTTAGTCTTGAATAGGCTCGATTGTAGGGTCAGATTGAGAGCCTAAAATCTAATTCAAATTTTGTTTGGGTTTAATCCTATTTGATTTGGGCTTGAAGCCCAAGGTTCAGACAATTCGATTTGAGGGCCCAAAATCCAACTTTCAATTTGAGGCCCATAATTAGAATTAATTATTTAGTTTAATTCAAAAATTAAAGAAAAAATAATACAAAAAGACAAAAATTGGTGCCGTGCACTGGCACAACCTCTCTTACCCCTACACTAGCCACCTTGCTAGCTGATTTCCCCTGCACCAACCACCCTGCTAGCAAAAAAAGCTGTCAAGCTAATTTTAATCCTTGAAGTTAAGGATTTGCTCTCACCATTATTCTTCACGTAGAGCTGGTCTTATAAAGAAAAAAAAAGAAGGGATTTATAGCTGAAAAAGAATTAAAAAAATCTAACTTTTCGTTCTATTTAAAGAGGCCATAATTGAAACATATACAACCTTCACTACAGCTACTCCACGACACATACCGACTTCTCTATAGCACAACTTCCGCCATCAACCCCCATAACCACAAATACAACCACCAACATAGCATCTTTAACACTCCATTTTTATTTCCTAAATAACCTCTTATCATTGAGACCCTTCACATCATCAGACCCCAATCAATGGCCATTTCGACCAAAACCAATGCCATCCTTCCCATTGCTAGAGTTGAAAAACTAGAAAATCCATCCCCAAACTATGACCTACAAGCACCACTAACAACCCTCATAACAAACCTATTAGGCCAAACACCCACCCAAACCAAAAATAAAAAAATTTTATCATTTTTTTTCAAAAGTTACATAAAAAAAAATAAAACACACTATAGTCCTTATCAATTGGTGAGGAACCTAGTAGAAAAAATATTAAAAAAAAAGAGGTAGTGTTCGGTTGAAGAGAAGTCGATGGTGCTGTGAGGCGGCTTAGGTTTCAAAAGCTAGAAAAAAGAGAAGAAGAGGGAGAAAGAAAAAAAAAAAAAAAGAATGAGGAGAAGAAAAAAAGAGAAAAAAAAAGATAAAAGAAAGATTAGGTGTCGGTTACGAGAAATAGCAAGGAGAAAATGAACAAAAAAGAAAATAAAAGAGAAAAGAAAAAGGAAAAAAGAATAAAGAAAATTTTTTTCAATGTTTAGGAAAAAGAAAAAATGAGAAAAAAAGAAAGATAAAGGAAGAGTACTTAGCGTCAGATATTTTAATAAGGTATTTTTAACCAAGCAAGGCTGACGTCTACTCAGAGATAAGGAATCATTGGTTTATAGATTACTAAGTGTCAGATTTTTTAAAATGAGAATTTCATTGATTTCAATCTAGAAAGAGACCTATCCCTCACTTGATGAAGCATTTGGTTGACATGATTGGATCTGCAAGCAAAATTAAAAAAGAAGGTGAAGGGATGGAAATTGGATTAAAATTTGAAAGGACAAATGGCTTCAAATAACATGCTTATTACACCAAATAGCTAGGTTCAAAGACTTATGGATGAAGATGTCAAAGAAGCTAACTTAATTGATACACAATCACATGGGTGGAAAAAGGAGTTACTGGGTCGTTTATTCATTATTGATGAAACGAACTTGATATGCTCCATTCCTTTAAGTGCAAATAACCACGTTGATATCTTAACTTAGAGTTTTGAAAAGGATGGCAGGTTCTCAATTCGAAATGCATATCATATGATAGTCTCTAACCAATGCTTGAATGATGAAAACTAGGTGCAAGAGAAAAATGTGCAAGCAAAAGATGAAAGATAGACCTAAAAAAAATTATGAAAAGTAAGGATCCCTAGCAAGATAAAGATATTTGGGTGAAAACTTAATAATGGTTTCCTACCAAGTTATAACACATTGTGGAAACGAGGAATCGATATACAAAGCACATGCCTAAAATGCTGCCAACTAGAGGAAACAATAGTTCATGTACTATGGGAATGCCTAAGCATAAAAACAAGAAAGGTGAAATTGGTGTAATAGTTTAGGATAGCGCTGGAAAGGTCATGGGAGCTACTACCTACAGAGTGGATCATGTACAGGAACCAAGCATGTTCAAAGTTTTAGCAGTCGCAAAAGCTATGGAGATAGTAGTGTATATGAGGCTAGATTACCTCATTTTGGGAAATGATGCTTTGTATGTAATAAATGGAATCTGATAAAAAAAGAAAGATTTTTTTAGAATGGGTAATGTTTTAGCATGTATTAGAAATAAAATGAAGTCTTTTTGTTTTTTTTTTTTTTTGTGAGTGGAACATATGTCATAACATATCGAGATTGTTGGAGGAAAAGATTTTAAAATAAAAAAATATAGAGAGTCGTCACCAATATTTTTTGTTATGTGTGATTGGTCACCTAAAAAGTTTATTTTTTTAATAAAACAATAAAACATATTTAAAGTTTATCAAAAAAATAATTTTTTATCTATAAAAATAAAGTTGGGTTTGAAAGTTCTTTTACGCGTAGAGAATGATTAGCATCACCACTATACCCTTTCAAATACAGTACCAATTAATCATACGTTATCTTTGATTTTAGATAAAAATGATTTTAATTTGAAATTTAATAATAATTCCCTTCACTTATGAAAAAGAAAAAATAATTTTATTAAAATTCTTTATTTATGAATATAAAAAAAATCTTTAAGTTAAAAATACCTTAAAATTCTTCAATGTCTAAACATAATTTATAGATAACTTACCACAACATTCCTCAAAATGAAAATAACATTCTTTATAAATGATAAATATTGGTGAATATCCAACATTTAGGCAGAGTACCAAGAATTATTTCCCTTAGAATGTTGATTTAGTTTTATTTAAAAATCTATTTTTTGAATAATATTTTTCATAAACACATTCTATGCAACAAAAAAAAAATTGATAATGCTTTAATTAATTAAGAAACAATAGTAAGAGGTATAAACATGCAAAATGAATGCAATCAATAATAAATAGATGCGTATATGTCAATTGATGATATATGTGATGATAAAATGT